ATGTGAGGTATTATAGAAGCTAGAGAAATGGGCTTATGATCTGGGGAACATTATCAGACATCCCTCAGTCTGTCATAGATGTATTGGCATGCTTAGTATATGCTTTTTCAGACAAACATATGCTACATTTATAACCTTATGTCTAAAAAATGTGTGAAGGTAAGAGCTACGTTGAATCAGACCAAACCAAAGATCCATGTGGTCCAACCTTTTGTCTTCCCTGAGCTCAGCCAGCTATCTCTGGGAAAATCACAACAGAATAAGAGCAAAATAGGACCATGTTCCAGATGTTATAGTGTTCAAAGCGATATTGCTTCTGACATCAGTGAAATATAGCCATCATGGCTAGAAGTCATTCGTAATCTTACCCTCCATGGTTTTGTCTAATCCGCTTTCTAAGTCACTCCAGCTGATGACTAACACTACCTCTTGTGGTAATGCACTCCATAGATTTATCACTGTTTATCACAGTAGTATCACAAAGGGAGAAACATTTCTTCCTCTCCCTTTGTCCATTCTGTTCATAAAGTTTTCTCTATGATGCCTTAAGAGAAAACATCCCAAACAACCTTCCTCACAAGGAAGAGTTATTTCACCACTTAATTTTAGATTGCAGAGCCATCTTTTCTTCTTTCCGGTCATGGTCACTGCAACTGCACACAGTATTCCAAGCATTGGTTACACTGCAGCTTTGTATAAAGGCATTACCATGTTATTGTTCACTCTGTCAATTAAAGGAAAAGCCTTATAGAAATTTCTGCAATCTATTTCTGTTCTTATCATAGCAGCTGGGATTAACTGGAAGTTTCTCATTCAAATACTAAGCAGGGCTGACCATGTTTAGTTCCCAAAATCAAGCAGGATCCAGCACCTTTATGGTATTTATAGTATCTGCATTAGCACTCACACCTAGAATTCCTCTGCTTGTTGTGTTGCTCCCTTTGGAAACTGTGCCTACCCCTTTCCTTTGGATATCTAAACAATGTCTCTAAATGGCCAACTGAAGTCTGAATGCACTACAATGCTAGAATCACAACAACTATGATGACCCGTGATAATTGTCAATTAAGAGACCTTGGACTGGAACTCTGGACTATGATTTGGATTTGCGGACTCAGACTTGGTTCTGTTAATATTTTAAGGGCCAATATTTTTAATGTATTTATGTTGCTGTTGACTTTTTTTATGTGAATTGTTGTGTTATTTGTCAGCATCTAATGACTGCCAATTGTAAGCCATTCTGAGTCCCCCTTCAGGGCAGAATACAAATGCTCTAAATAAATAAATAAATAAATAAATAAATAAATAAATAAATAAATAAACTTTTGGGGCTGAGGAGTGGAATTCTTGTTGGTGGACAATGCCCATTTTACCCTTTCTCCCATAGCTACATGCCAAGTTCTATCAATTGTCACGAGGTAGCATGGAATGGAAAATTTGTTCTTTAATAGTCACTAAAGGGCTTGGACATTTTCATGCACAATGATAAGATTTTCAGCTATTCRGTACAATAAGAGCTGTGTTACTGATTTTAGTTGGATGATTAATGCTGCAATTTATACACATTTACCCAAGAAAAAATGAACTGCACTTCTGGGTGGATACATCAAGTACTGTATGCACCTCTTCTCCCCCCCCCCCCCCATCATTTCTATTTAAACATAGAACAGTGTGTTCTCTTGCTTGTTTCAAAAAGGAAATAACAGAGACTATTTGGGATTGTTTCATTTTGGGCAGTGACCGGGTGAAAAGGCCAATTAAAATGTATTAAAAATAGAGAAAGAGTGATCCAATGGGGACAAAGAGGATCAAAGCCATGATGCCAGACATGGTTGAGCTGTTTCTACTTGGCTCACAAGTATGTACATATATAAAACAGTGCCCCAATATGGGTAGTGAATTAATAAGAGTGAATAATCCACAAACAGGAATTAAAATGACAATCCTATAATTCCCAACCAGTCCTAATTGTGGCCATTGAGACAAAAGATCTTCATTCCATGATCTCCAAAGCACCAGGTAGTGGAAAATTGTTCTTACGTGCCTTCAAGTCATTGACAACTGATAACCCTAAGGTGACTCTATCACAGGGTTTTCTGAGACTGAAAGTATGTAACTTATCTAGGGTCATCCAATGGGTTTCCATGACTGGGTGGAAATTCAAACCCTGGTCCCCAAAACTGTAGTTGAATGTTCAAACGACTATGTTCAAACAGCACAGGCTCTCATTAGAAGACTAGTTTGCACATTATCTCTGTGTGTGCCTGCATGGATACACACTCTGATTTTCAAGCATGTCAATTGTGCCCAAGACTATAATTCTACTCAACATGCCCCTTATATATTCATTTGATTAATAGATTCCTAAACCATATTTCAGGGCTTATGGTCATTACACAGAGATATAGAAACAATACAGAAAAATCAGAGCAAATATGAAATAAATAATAGCTTTAAAATAATATACTTATAAAACCCTATATATAGGTGATACCTTTATTATTCCAACCAGAATGCAGTAAATACATTGTGCTAGTTTGAATTCTTCATCAGGCAAAGATGGTAAAAAAACATGTGAGGAAATAGACAAGCCACAATGCAAACTTTCAACAATGGTGCTATACAAATCCCTGCAATTCATGAAAAGATATATCCCACAACTAACCCAAAGGCATTGTTTTTATTTTTAAAAGCAATTGGAATAGTAGTCCTCAGCATTTATCTGACATCTTCTGCAGTGTTTCAGTCTAATTTGCAATATATGGGCAATAATATTTCTAAGTATAGTAGAGTCTCACTTATCCAACCTTCTCTCATCCAATGTTCTGTATTATCCAGCACAGTCTGGCTCCCACCCAGATCCAGAGCTGTTTCAATACACTGCAATTTTTGATGCTAAATTCATAAATACAGTAATTGCTACATAATGTTAAAGACAGGGCCTTTTCTGTGGTGGCCCCGCGGTTTTGGAATGCCCTCCCTATAGAGATAAGATCAGCCTCCTCACTGATGATATTTCGGAAAAAACTAAAGACATGGATGTTTGAGCAAGCGTTCGGCTAAKTCGACRCGATGATRTTTCTGATTAAGGACWGGCAATTRCYRACAACGAATTGGATTATGATTTTCATTTAAGAGATGCATTGGTCTGTATTGGTGGCCCAATACTGTGTATTATATATGTATGTGTTTTATATTTTTTAATCTGAATATTGCTGTTTTTAAATGCTGTAAACCGCAGTGAGTCGCCGCTCTAGGCTGAGATACTAGCGGTATACAAGTGTACTAAATAAATAAAATAAAATAAATGTGTTGAACTGCATTTCTGTCGATTTGTGGTAAAACATGATGTTTTGGTGCTTAATTTGTAAAATAATAATGTAATTTGACATTTCATAGGCTTTTCCTTAATCTCTCCTTATTATCCAATATTTTTGCTTATCCAACATTTTGCAGGCCTGTTTATGTTGGATAAGCGAGACTCTACTATACATCTTATGGACACTACACTCACCATCCCAGTTCTAGCACTGTATTGAACCTCTGATGGAGGAGATTTGTGTGTATTTTTTCCATGTATATGGATTCCTAGAGAGTTCTTGGACTAGAATCCCTCACCATTGGCCATGCTGGTTGAGGCTGCCTTAAGTCCAACAACATCTGGGGACCTGTGATTTGGACCCACTGATTTAAGGGAACCTATGCAATATGCTCACTAGCACACAGAATGTACAGTACAAGAGGTTAAAAAAGGAAAATATTTGTGGTGTCAGTAGCTATCAGATGACTCATAAATGGAACTTCAGTGAGATTGATCTCTGTGATCATAGACATTGCCAGACTTTCAAATCAGAGTTTGAAGAAAATCTGCCTTTCACTATTCTTTAACATCTTTGATTATTGCAACAGAAGAGCAAACCAGGGATGAAATACCATACACATTTGCCTCAAAGTAAGTTCCACAGACAACTATGAGACTTTCTTCAGAGTAAAGGACTGCACTGTACACCTACATTTACCTCTCAAACAGAATGGAACTTACTTCTCACTCCATATGCATAAAACTGCATATGTTAAAAAAACCAAAGCCTTGTTCATGGAGCCTCAGTATAAAAACCAATGGCATCCATGCCGTGAACTAAATCTCAGTATGAAAGAAGTGTGAGGAAAAGTCAGCTTTTTTATTGCTCTTCTGCAACACTTCCATATTTTATTATTTTGTTAACTGCCCCTTCTTGGTCACTCTAAGCCCCTATTTGCTCTCCTTCCCCCTCTTTCCCTCCAACCCATTCACCTCCCATGCAAGGCTTCATCTCTTTGAACAAGAAAGAAATCATGGGGCTTTGATAGAAACTCTGGATAAAATTAAGAACTTCAAACTCTCAGGTTTTTTTACCCCTTTTTGGAAGAAAAAGGAAAACAGATGTTGTGTTTGTTAAGTATAAATAACTCCGTACGTTGAAACCTTTCCTTTACGCTGCATTAAACTTTATTTAATGCAGGGTGCCCCTTCAACCGTATGAAGGCAGAGAGGGAGCAAACTTGAGGGGTGACAAAGCCCTAAATCTTGTTCTGTGCTCTCTAGGGAAACAGAAGACGACAAGAGAGGAAAGCTTTCAGGCAGATGAAAGGACTCTACACATTTCTACCAAACTCACAGGGAAGAAAAGGCCTTGTCAACTAGAGCTCTGAGCCAAAGAAGAGGGAGATCCGCACCCCCCCCCCCACACACACACATGCACACACGTGTTTTTTTTAAGCAGGACTGAAATACTGGCTGTTTTTTTATGACTCTACTTAAAGCACTTCCATGTCAGACAAAAGATATGAAGAGCACCTTTGATGCAAACTCTTTAACACTGATATTCCTACTCCCTGTCCACAGCATGTGAGTTCACAGCAATGAGGTGCATGATGTCCCAACACTTCTGTAACCTGACATCCATGCCCTCCGCTTTGTTGAGATACAAGAAGAAGCCTCACAAGGATTTGACACTTACGTGAGAACATAGTTGACGCTGACAATACAATGAGGCCGGGAAGATCGACTGTTGTGGACGATGGTAGCATAACTCTGCACCCAGACCCAGCCACCCTGTTTGGCGAGGAAACGGTAATATTTCGTTGTGACTTGCCCTTTCACTAGCACTGAAAAAGAAAATAAAACACAAAAATTGTTTTGTAAGTGGAAGCTCCCATTCCTGATATTTTCTTAAAGAGGAACATCAGCAAATCAGGATGATCACTCATCTTCATTAATACATTTCAACAATTCACATACACAGAAATTGTAGGGAAAAGATTAACGTAGACAGACAAACAGAGGATAGGTAGGGAGGTGCGACATAGACAGAGAGATTGGTAAAAACAGACTGAGAGATTATAGCCCCTTCTTCACTGCCACATAATCCAGATTATCAAAGCAGAAAATCCACATTATCTGCTTTGAACTGGAATATATGAGTCTACGCTGGCATATAATCCTGTCCAAAGCAGATAATCTGGATTTTATATAAACTTGCAGAAGGGGCCTAAGAGAAGGGAGTAAATTCAGGTAAACTGGGGACCCTTCTAGACAGGCCCTATCTCCCAGGATCTGATCCCAGGTTTTCTGTTTATCCCAGATTATCTGGCAGTGTGGACTCATATAATCCAGTTTAAAGCAGAAAACCTGGGATCTGATCCTAGGGCCTATCTGGAAGAGCCCTGGGTGATCTCCCATCAAGAACTTTCCCTCTTAAATTTCAAATAAGAATACTAAGTATTATTGATTCATTCATGAGCCTGGCCTAACCATTTTTTCAAAGACAGGTTTTCAGGTGTTCTCACCAGAAACTAAAATGATGCTTTGCTTGTTTTGATGATATCATCACTGCATGGAAAGGCCCTAGTTGGAACATCTTAAAGTGCAACAAATATTACTTATATGTGCTGTATCTGCCCTTCAGATCCAAATCAGCATGCCCACCTATACCAGTTTCAGAAGAAGCTACTTATAACCACAACTCCTAAATTATAGCAATGAGAAAAACCATGTGATCAAAAGAGCATGTGAGTTAAGACTGTGTGAACAAAAGAGACGTAAATGATTACAAGTGTAATCCGGTACATGTTTACTCAAAAGTAAATATATTCAGCTTTTTCTGCAGATGAGCGTGTTAAGTGAGATGGATAACTCAGCCCTATATCCCAGAATATCAAAGCAGAAATCCTACAATCTCCACTTTGAACTGGGGTCCCTTCCACACAGTCCTATATCCCAGAATATCAAGGCAGAAAATCCCACTTTATCTAAGAGCCCTTCCACACAGATGTTTATCCCAGAATATCAAGGCAGAAAATCCCACATTATCTGAGTGTGGACTCAGATAACCCAGATCAAAGAAATATTGTAGGATTTTCTGCCTTGATATTCTTGGATATAGGACTGTGTGGAAGGACCCTGGGTTATCTGAGTCCACACTCAGATAAAGTTGGATTTTCTGCCTTGATATTCTGGAGTATAGGGCTGTGTGGAAGGGCCCTGAGTCTGAAAACACAGGAATGAGACATGGAATTGCTGGAAAGAGTCTTTCCATGAGCATGCACAAAGGGCCAAATTCTGCCCCAGATACATCTATTCCTATTTCACATCAGGCTTTTATGATCACAGGGCCCTTCCAAACAGCCATATAATACAGAATATCAAGGCAGAAAATCCCATAACATCCGTTTTGAAACTGGAACACCTGAGTCCAGACAGCCATATATCCCAGTTCAAAGCAGATAATGTGGGATTTTATTCAGCTATGTGGAAGGGGCCTCTGTCTTCTGATTTAGGGCCAGACCTGGTTATACTTCCTATTGTTCAACCTATTGCTGATCTGCAGAAAATTACTGAGAGATCTAGCAGTAGATCCATAATATCTGCCTTCTACCCAAAATAGAGCTATCATCACAGACATTCTCCATTTGAACATTGCAACTTGTCTGAACATAGCAATGTACAGCTAGAAAAGATTTCACTAACTGGATTTCTCCTTGTCACAATAAGCAGAAGGCATAAATTTTGCCGGCGTAGTAATATTGAATTAATAAATCAAGCAGTAAATTACTGTGAGCAAGTGGGTAGACTTAAAGTATATTCTAAATGCTGGCATCTAAATATTTCTTTGAAATGTTATCTTAAGCATGTTTATTTGTGACAACAAGCTGAAAATGAAAGAATTGGCACATCTGTGGATATGCAGATAGGATCAGGAATGAAATTTTAGAAGTAGTACATCAGAGTAAACAGCAAGAAATAAACAACTGAATCCAAATTAAACGATCCCAGTTAAATTTTGGTTAATCTGAGTAGTTCTGTATTAAACCCAGAGGGTTTTACTATTGGAAAGATTCCCACTCACGCCAGGCTTGAAATTTAAGTATGTAGTTCTGAGATGTGATTCCACTTGGCACTCTTCCAAATAATGCCATTTATTCCTGCCAAATTGATTCCATCACCTAGCACTTAATGCATTTTAAGGCAGTTAAGCATGGAGGGATAGGGTGGGCAGCACGTCCTCCACCGCTGTTTAAAAATAAACTTTTGTGAGGGGCTGGAATGATATATTATATTACCTTAATAGGCATGAAATTCTTTTGGAAGACATGTTGGAAATTCAATCCACAAATGTCTTCTCTCATAAACAAAAATGCTGATTATCCATAACCGTAATCTCCCAGGCACTGAGTGGCACCACACAACATCAGTCAGACGGAGGTTTGGGGTAGAATGAGTGATAGAATCATAGACCTGTGCAACTGGAAGTTTGATATCAAAAGTCATCTAATCCAACCATTTAATAATGCAGAGGTCTGCAGCTAAAGTGTTTCTTACAGATGGCCATCCAACCTGTGATTAAAGACCTTTAGTGAAAAGGCCTCAAATTGTAAGTTGCTCTGAGTGAACAAGCCTGCCTGCTATAATAGTATCAGATCATGTGTCCTGCTAGAAGGGGAAAAGAGATAGATGCTAGACCCTTTCCTCCCATGCGTTGTAAGCAATGCACATGGCTCTTCTCTTCCCTGCCTTAGCTTCACAGTCATATGAAATTGAACAGGCTGTAAGAGTATGTGGCCCAAGAGTGCTCTTTATGGCTCCATTGGGATTAACACCAGTAGAAAACGCCAATATGTTAAAGCTGGCAAGGTATGCAGGTAGAGAGTGAAGCTGTTCATATAGTAAGTGCTGAATGGCCAACTCTAGACATATATGATATGGTTGCTTCATAGTGAAAGAGGGACCATCAAAACAAGAGGTATTTGTAGTGACTATTTGAGGGAGAAACTTTTCTACAGGCCCTTCCACACAGCCATATAATCCAAAACATCAAGGCAGAAAATCCCACAATATCTGTTTTGAACTGGGATATTGGAGTCCACACTGCCATATATTCCAGTTCAAAGCAGATAATGTCAGATTTTATTCAGCTGTGTGGAAGAGGCGTTAGATCTGTTATCAGATCTCCTGAGGTGACCAAATCCAGGATGATCATGCTGAGCATGGGGTGGATCTGACCACCCTTCCCAGATGCATCTACACTATAGAATTAATACATCTTGACACCACTTTAACTGGAATGGCTCAAAGCTAGGAAACCATAAAAATTGTAGTTTTATAAGGTCTTGAGCCTTCTCTGTCAAAAACTTCTGATGCCTAACCAAACTACAAATCCCAAGATTGTATAGCACCAAACCATGGCAGTTAAACTGGTGTCAAACTGAATTAATTCTACAGTGTAGATAGATGCAACCCAGGTCAAGATAGGGAAGTGTATATAGGTATGCTTGGGTCTCAGCAAATATTTGGGGAGAGAAGAGGCATTCAAGATGTGCAGGACTGAGGAGGAGAGACAGAAAAATAGAATGGGAAAGTGGATTTTCCATCCCCACATTCTTTTTTTTCTTGATTTTTTAAAAAATGGATTATATACTATTTTCTTTTATAATGATGAATATCATTTATAAGGCAAGATGTTAACATATTTACTGCCTCAAAACTATATAATAAAGCTGTGTAAGGGGGGATATTTATATATAACACAGTGAGCATTACGATTCCTGGTTTGTTTTTTCATTTCTTTTTGTGGAAATGAATACATCATGTCTGCTTGGTAGTGTGGCAAACAAATGGAGACAAAATAGTTGTCTTTTTAAAAAACTAATGTTGATGGTATCTTCAGTGTTTTCAGGGTGGTAAAACCAGAGGTCATTTATAGTTTAGATATTCCTTACAATTCAGGACCTTGTAGATCCAGTTGTAAATAAATACTTTTAAATTATTTAAAATGTTTTAAATAAATTATACTTTTAATATACTGAACATGACATTGTATTCTATATCAAGTTATGTATTTTATGTTACTAATATAACAAACTGTGTTATAAAAGATGCTAATATTGTATTATTATTATTATTATTATTATTATTATTATTATTATTATTATTATGCATTCTCTGAACCTTTCCACAGTGTTTTCCCTGAAGTTTTTAAAATCCCTATGGCTACAGAATTTTTGGAAATGTTTACATGTCTAATACAGAACACCAATTATTTTGAGGACCATCATTTAAATTCAAGATCCTATGCAGATCTACTCAAAAAGGCGGCTCAGCTGGGCCTTACCCTCTAGCAAAACTTTCCGGACTTGTGGAAACTACTTTAGTTTTGTTTGTAATTTGAAATCCTTCCCTCAAAGCCTAATACATGAAAGAGAAACATATGTCTTTCCAGATCTTGTTGGACTGCAACCACCTTCAGCCTTAAAGAGCATAATAGTGTTGGATAGTAGGAGCTGAACTCCAAAATCTTTGGAGATGTCACAGCTGTCCTCTCTCCAGATTAGTACAAAATCCATAGTTTGCAGTCCTGTGCCTGTTTATCTGGCAGTAAGCCTCATTGATTGCAAAAAGATTTACTTCAGACTACAAAAATCCAGGCTTGCACTGTTAACATTTAGAAATACATTCTGGCCTGATGATTTGTTTCCAGAGATGAGTTGAGTTCACAGACCCCCATTCCATGTAAAGTACCAATGCATGGTTCTCTCAAATTGTCTTCAACTCAACAATTTAATTCTAAAAGGAAGAGGTATTCTTTCTGGCACAGAATCATAAGTTTGGAAGGGATTTTCAGGGGCATCAAGTCCAACCCTTGGCCATACCGAAAAACCCATCGAAAGCATTCTAAAATGGCTGTTCCGCCTCTCCACATGAAATGGCTATCTAAAGACTTCCAAAATTAGTTTACTGCCATATCACACAGTCTAGTCCATCACGAAATAGTCCTTATCCTAGAAGCTCTTCCTAATTTTTGCTGGAATCTCTTGTAATTTAAATTCGTTGCTTTGTGTCTTAGGGCCCCTTCCACCCAGCCCTATATGCCAGAATATCAAGGCAGTAAAACCCACATTATTTGAGTGTGGATTCAGATAACTCAGTTCTGATATTGTGGGATTTTCTGCCTTGATATTCTGGGATATAGTACTGTGTGGAAGGGCACTCAGATATGCTTGCTCCATCTTCTATGTGACATCCTTTAAAGATGGCTATGCTATCACTGGCAAATAATGAGTATCTTCCTAACTCAATGAAAGACATCCAGTGATCTGCCAGTCCATTCAAAGTTTGCATCCAGCTTCCTCCTTTTTGAACCTGGATCCATCCTTTCTTGTGTACTTTTTCTTGCTTAGCTTTTCAATTCATCTCTATATCACTTCTGAGGCCCCTTCTATGGGCCCTTCCACATATATATACAACTCAAGAATATCAAGGCAAAAATCCCACAATATCTGCTTTGAACTGGGAGCCCTTCCACACAGCCCGATATCCCAGAATATCAAGACAGGAAATCCCACATTATCTGAGTGTGGACTCAGATAACCCAGTTCAAAGTAGATATTTTGCCTTGATATTTTGGGATATAGGGCTGTGTGGAAGGGCCCTCAGATATGCTTGCTCCATCTTCTATGTGACATCCTTTAAATATGGCTATGCTATCATTGGCAAATAATGAATATCTCCCTAACCCACTGCAAGACATCCACTGATCTGCTAGTCCATCCAAAGTTTGCCTCCAATATCCTCCTTTCTGAACCTGGAACCATCTGTTCTTGTGTACCTTTTCTTGCTTAGCTTTTTAATTAATCTCCCTATCACTTATGAGGCCCCTTCTACAGGCCCTTCCTCATATACATACAACCCAGAATACTAAGGCAGAAAATCCTACAATATCTGCTTTGAACTGAGAACCCTTCCACACAGCCCTATAGCCTAGAAATATCAAGGTGGAAAATCCCACAATGTGTGCTTGGAACTGGGGGCCCTTCCACATAGCCCTATATATATCCTAGAATATCAAGGCAGGAAATCCCACAATATCTGCTTTGAACTGAGTTATTTGAGTCCACCACACACAGATAATGTGGGATTTTCTGCCTTGATATTCTGGGATATAGGGCTGTGTGTAAGGGCCCAAAGTTACAGTTTTGGACTCCCAGAACTTCCCAGCTAATTCACTGCACTTGGGAGTGAGTTCCAGAACTTCCAGGGAACTCATCGTAACCTACTTCCCAACAAAAGTTCCTGTTTTGAAGCATCACAACTCCCAGAATCTCCCAGCCAGCTCACTGCACTTTGGAGCAAGCCTTGATGGACTGGAGACTCGGGGCCCTTTCACACAGCCCTATATCCCAGGATATCAAGGCAGAATATCCCACATTATCTGAGTGTGGACTCAGATAACCCAGTTCAAAGCAGATACTGTGGGATTTTCTGCCTTGATGTCCTGGGATATGGGGCATATTTCCAAACATGGCGAGAGAAGTGACTTTTTTGCACTCCAACGATGCCCAGATTCCCCCCAACCCTGGGATAGTGGGTGTTGTGGTGGCCCCGCCCTCGAGGAAGCCTGCCTTGCCTGCCTGCCTGGGGGAAGGAGAGAAAGGCGGCTCCTTACGCAGGTGATGGGCGCAGCGCAAGTGGAAGGTGTCACAGCTGTGGACGTGGTGGTAGAGGGTCTTCTCGATCAGGTCCTGGGGCTCGTAACCGGTCAGCTCGGCTACCCTGCCGAAGAGAGAAAGGGAGGCAGGAGAGAGCGGGGAGGAGAAAGAGAGCAAAAGAGCAAAGAAAGAAAGAAAGCAAATCCGTCGGTTCCTTTGTCTTTGGTGTCGCCTTCACCTGGCGCTAAGAGGTGGGAAAAGGGGGGCCCGCGGGGATCTCCCCCACCCTCACGACCTACCGCGAGTCGAGGAAGATGAGCTTCATGTCCAGGCTGGCCCTGAACATGAACATATTGCTGTGCAGCTTGATCTCGGTCACGGCGCTGGGCGGCAAGGAGTGGCCCACGGCCACCAGGCCCACGTTCTGGTAGCAGCCGTCGAAGGGAGACATGTCCAGGCTGTACTGGCGGATCTTGAGGTAGCCGCTGCAATGGATGACCTGTTGGGGCACAGAGAGGCGTCCCAGGGTTTTGGGGTTGATCAAAGAGGGAGGCTAAGGCTGCATCTACACACTGCCTTATATCGCAGGATCTGACCCCAGATTGTCTGCTTATCCCAAATTATCTGGCAGTGTAGACTCATATAATCCAGTGGAGCAATGGATTAAGCCAGTGGTTCTCAACCTGGGGTCCCCAGATGTTTTTGGCCTACAACTCCCAGAAATCCTAGCCAGTTTACCAGCTGTTAGGATTTCTGGGAGTTGAAGGCCAAAAACATCTGGGGACCCCAGGTTGAGAACCACTGGGTTAAGCCCTTGTGCCGGCAGGACTGAAGACCTAAAGGTCGCAGGTTCGAATCCGAGGAGAGCGCGGGTGAGCTCCCTCTGTCAGCTCCAGCTCCCCATGCTGGGACAAGAGACAAGCCTTCCACAAGAATGGTCAAAACATCAAAACATCCGGGCGTCCCCTGGGCAACGTTCTTGCAGACGGCCAATTCTCTCACATCAGAAGCGACTTGCAGTTTTTCAACTCGCTCCTGACATACACACATACACGCAAAGCTGAATAGCCCTTGTGTGGTTTAACCCTGAATAGCCCCCGGTGGACTGCTAACCGAAAGGTAGGGGTGAGTTCCTGCCTGTCAGCTCCAGCTTCCCATGCAGGGACATGAGAGAAGACCCCCCACAGGGTGGTAAAACATCCTGGCGACCCCTGGGCAACGTCCTTGCAAACGGCCAAATCTCTCACACCACAAGCAACTTGCAGTTTCTCAAGACGTTCCTGACACCGGAAAAAAACCCAGTTCAAAGCAGATAATCTGGTATCAGATCCTGGAATAGTGGGCAGTGTAGATCCGGTCAGAAAAGGAAAGGGCACTTGTACCTCCTGGAATTCACTCCTGACTTACCTTCCTTAAGCGTCACAAGAGCCACACAACATCTAGCCACCTTATGGGGCATCCCACCACCACCACCCAAAGAGCACCTCTTCCCACCTCTACAGTAAACAAACATGCAGGAGGAACCACCGGATTTCCCCATCTCCCAGAATCTGGTGGAGGGACACAGATCGAGGTCATACTCTAAGGACTCAGGGTGCATCTAAACTGTGGAACGAATGCACATTGACGCCACTCTGCCATGGCTCTGTGCTGTGGATTCATGGAGATTGTAGTTTGAAAAGATCTTTAGCCTTCTCTGTCAAGGAGTGCTTGTACCTCACCAAACTACACCTTCAGTGATTCCAGGACAGTTAAAGTGGTGTCAGGCTGCATCAGTTCCACAGCGTAGATGCACCCTGAGAGAAAGATCTTATATGTGTCATCTCAACAGTAATTCCACCAGAGTTCAATTGGACTCCCTCGGGGGAAATGTAAACAAGGCTGCTGCTTTAAACACATAAATAAGCATCTTCGAAGAACAGAACTTTGACGCTTTCCTAAGGGACTCGGGGATCAAGCAGCCTTTGAATTTCAGATTTGTCAAACACTGCGGCTTAGGCACAATAAACTGAGTAGGTAAAAGACTGTGATTAGTAATCTTGCCTGTGTTTACTAGGAGGGGAAACTCACTTTTGGTGGCATTTTCTCCTAAAGTTGTGGGCACAGAATTTCCATTTTAATTGTGGATAGATGGTGCGTCCCCAAACTAAGGCCCTCCGTTTACTCAGTCCTGTCCTAAACTTTAGACTTCCAGGCAGGAAGCAACCAAGTTTTGAAGGTGCAAGGCCATTCAATGGTAATCAAGGTGGTCACATTTGCCTCCAACTGACAAGAGTTCTTTCTCCCACCTTGGACATTCCACAGATATATAAACCCCGTTATCCTAGTTTCCAACAGACCTCACAACCTCTGAGGATGCCTGCCATAGATGTGGGCGAAACGCCAGGAGAGAATGCTTCTGGAACATAGTCATACAGCCCAGGAAACTCACAGAAACCCAGGGCTCTTCCACACAGCCACATCAAGGCAGTAAAACCCACACTATCTGAGTGTGGACTCAGATAACCCTGTTCAAAGCGGATATTGTGGGATTTTCTGCCTTGATATTCTGGGATAGAGGGCTGTGCGGAAGGGTTCCCAGTGATTCCGGCCATGAAAGCTTTTGACAACACAATCCTAATTAACTTTATCTCATCAGTCAAAAGCAAGTCCACATTACCGTTAGCTTTATGTTTGTAGGATTTTATAGCAGTTAAAGTGGGGTCAAGCCGCATTAATTCGACACTGTAGAACAGGCACCCTCAAACTGCGGCCCTCCACCTGTTTGGACCTTCAACTCTCAGAATTTCTGGCAATTGAACAAGCTCGTTAGGACTTTTGGGAGTTGGAGGCTCAAACAGCTGGAGGGCCGCAGTTTGAGGATGCTTGCTGCTGTAGAAAGAAGCCGACCAAGCCTCCGGTTCTGCCCGCTAGTTGGCGCCCTGGCGCTCCCGCACCTTGTATCCCCCGCAGGTGAGGCCGGCGTTCCTCTTGGCCAGGACGCACTTCATCCGGAGGAAGAAGGAGCGCTCGATCTCGTATTCTGGGGGGCAAAAGAGGAGCGGGTCAAGGGGGAGGGGGCTCCTCTGGGGAGGGGGGGGCGCTACCTCCCGCCTCCCTCCCGGCTCCCTCCCCGCCGCTTTACCCGTGGGGCTTTACCCTGAACGAAGTGGGAGTGGTAGGGCTGGTGGGCGGTCAGGACGGCCGTCATCTCGTCGTGGTCGGCCGGGTGCACGTACTCGTAGATGCTGTTGCCGGTCAGCTCCACCTGAAAGAAAGAGAGGAGAAAGAAAAACCCTTCGTGGGGTTGCCTGGGCAAAGGGGGTTGGGGTCCTTGTCATTGTCATATATGCCCGTGCCTGAATCAAACGGATCCTTCTCCAAGCGGTGGCGGATTCATGTATACAATCACATCAAGAAATGCCGCATTGGAAGCTGGCCCTTCGAAGCTGGCCCTTCGAAGCATCTAGTGTCTCCTTGGTCTTTGCCATCTTGTTTTCAAAGGGGAGTAATAACCAAATGCCTCTTCAGCTCAGGCACCGACAAAGGAGGCAAGGGGCGCCCCGTCACCCTCATCCACTTTTCCCCAAGAGAGGGACTCAAGGGTTCTTACAAAATATTACAACCAGCCCAAACTCTCTCTCTCTCTCTCTCTCTCTCTCTCACACACACACACACACACACACACACACACACACGGTCTTGATGTCTGGGTTAAACGATGGCACAACTGTGTACAAATTGATGGTGACTATATTGAACGATAGTTTTGTGTAGAGGCTATGATCTGTAGCAACTTCTGCTGTTATATATTCATTCATAAAGTTTTTTATGGCACAGGAGGCAATTTTTGACTATATATATATATATATATATATATATATATATATATATATATTTCAAAAGAAACTCATAAGAGCTAACAGAATATTAAAACTATATATAGCCCGAAAAAAACCTACAACAACCCATTAAAACTATTATTTTCCAAACCTTATATAACATATTAAATTAGCAACACACACATAAATATAGACATTTGTTTAATATGCTACAGTTTTCCCAAAACGTCACAGCTCACAAATACAATGAGTTAAAGCAATAAAGCAATTCGTTTTTTTTAAAAAAATAAATAAAAGTATACAATTGGGTTGTTGTGAGTTTTCCGGCTGTATGGTCATGCTCCAGAAGCATTCTCTCCTGACGTTTCACCTGCATCTATGGCACACAACCTCAGAGGTTGTGAGGTCTACTGGAAACTATTGGAAGACCTCACAACCTGAGGATGCCTGCCATAGATGCAGACAAAATGTCAGGAGAGAATGCTTCTGGAACATGACCATACAGCCCAAAAAACTCACAACCCAGTGATTCTGGCCATGAAAGCCTTCAACAATATAGTATACATGTGTTTGGGAGAAAAAGAAAGAAAAAAACCTTTTAAAAAGGTTGGTCATGCATTCTGGTTTTCTCCATGATAATATATACAATTTTTAAAGTAATGCTACACACACATATATATGAGAAATATAGTTTTAAATGCCTGGGTCATTTTAAAAGTACACACACACATGTATAATATGCCTCCGTTCTCCCAAAGTATGATCCAAAGCAGCTCACAGATAAAATTAGTTAAAACAATCCAATTTAAAAAAATAAAAATATTATAAAATGGTTTAGAAAAAAATATACTAATGTTTAAACCCCTTTTTAAAAGAGAGCACACACCTTATTTTCCTGCCTGAGAATATACAGAATTTATTTGTAAAATAACATTCATACTTACTACATACACACATATATGGATATTATTTTCCAAAGCAATTCAACTGCCTGGAGCAGTGGTTCCTAAACTCTGGTCCTCCAAGTGTTTTTGGACCTCAGCTTCCAGTATCTCTGACCACTGGCCAAAGTGGTAGCTGGAATCAAAATCCAAAAACCTTTAGGTTTGAGAATTACTGGCTGGAGTATTAAAGTTAGTGAAAATACGAGTTGGAAATATAAGCAAGGAACCCTCAGTGAAGACAGTCAGGAAGAATGTGTGCAGATGACTAAGGGGAGCACAGCATACAGAGGGGCCTGGACTTCATCATTCCTCTTTAGATTATTTTAATGTGCCCATCCAGTGCAGTTGAACTCAGATGCTAATCTTATTTTTTATCTTTTTTATCCCACATTTCTCCCAATACTTAGATCATGAGAAAAAAAAAGAGTTGAAAATACTTATGATCTAAGATTTTTTATCAAGAAGTCACACATTCTGAAATAAATAATAATCTCTTGTCTGTGGATTCTGGTTTTTGATGGGGGCTAGGTGTGAAATCACCAGATTTTGCAGCAACTCCCAGGTGTCTTAGCCAGTATAGCTAATGGTGAGGAATGCTCGGAGTTGCCATCCATTCCAATTACATCTGAGAGGCTATATGATCTCTCCCAACTACACATAGAATCGGTTTCTTATTCCCCCCCACCCCATTTTGCATGAATTTTGTCAAAACATGGTACCATACCTGTGACAAACCCAAGTGAACAGAGGCGGTCTCAGAGATGTACATGATCTTGCCATCTGGAGCTACCACAAATATGAAACCATCCAAAGTCTAAAAGGAAAGAAGTACAAATGGTGAAATTGACTTTCCTATATGGTGACCTTACCCCAACTTTTGGGAAAGCTCATTTTTGAACTACTGCCCCCAGTAGGCTTGCTAGCATGGGCACTGGTGGGAAGAAGCTGGGAGCTGTAGTATGACAACAAAAGGTTGTGAGTTCTGCTCTTGCCAATTCAATCTTACTTTTACCCGAAAATTAAATGGAGGCGGAAGAGAGTTAACAGATACAACCTGGAAACATGAAGGGGAGCTGGGGAGGATCACATAAAAGTCTCATTCCAAGGACACCAGATTGTGATATTGCATTGAGCTTTCTAAGCATAACTCAATGGATAAGGCTGTACTGGAAGAACTAAATGGACAGTTTAGCTTTGCTTTATACCAGTTTAAAATACTTGTCTGAACATATCTCCTGTTATGAACCATCATGAAGCTTAAGATCGCAGGAGAGGCCCTGCTCTCGATCCCACCACTCTCGCAAACACAATTGGTGAGGACGAGAGGCAGGGCCTTCTTGGCAGTACTCCCCCGTCTGTTGAACTCCCTCTCTAAGGACATCAGGTTGGCCATCTTCCTCCTGTCCTTTAGAAGACAACTGAAGACCTGGCTCTGGGGCCAGGTGTTTGACTAGATGATAGTAACAATAGGAAAAGGAACTTTGGGTTTGCGATATTGGATTCCCCAGCTTGATTTTTGGTTTTACTGGCATGCTAATATTATTGTTAAATGAATTTATTGGTTGATTTGTATAATGTTTTAATGTATAATGTTTTAAAATATCTTTACTGTTTTAACTGTTTTCTTATGATGTATACTTGTAAGTTGATGCCTCTGTGAAGCTGCACTGAGTCCCCCTTGTGGGGAGAAGGGTGGGATAGAGGGGACTCAGATCAGGATAGAAGCGTATGAAATACATAAATAAATACATTACCCCTATTCCCTCATGAGAAGTCTTTCAATTGTTAACAGCCTCTTAAATCTCAGAGGAACCTTCTGTAGGTTACAGCCTCTTAAGTCTCAAACACCATTTCACAGGATTATCTGCTGGAAAAGTCCAAACAGATATCAATCCAATCTCTTACTCTGGACCTGCACAGATTGAAATTGATTAATATCACCCAACTGGTTTGACACTGAGGAGTTATGGTTTGATCTATTACTGCACCCTGACACAGAAGTACACAGTATATGTTACACTGATTGTTATATTTCTGTAAGTCACTCTGGGTTTTAATCTGAACTATAAAGGGAGTGGGACAGAACATGACAGGATACAGAAATATGCAAAATGTGTCCATGGCCATAAATCTTCCACAATTTAAATAACAACCATTAATCCAAGAATGCCTGCTTTCTCCACCAACCATAACACTTTCTTTAAAAGAGTCAGGATAGTTGTCCATCTTTGCCAGGACTGTGAATGCTGACTAGAAATTGTCTTTAGGACCTCAGAGAAAGATCTATAAACCCAAGGTTCTCTGCTAAAAGGGATCTGGCCTCTGTTGCAAAACCTTTCACAAAACCTTTCACAAAATGTAAAGGAAAATAGCCTGATGGCAGAGTTGAGCAACTTCCCTCTTTGAACTATAATTCCCCTACTTGATAGGAGGATTCTGGAAGTTGTAGATCAAACACAGTATCTCTTTTGAGCTCTGCCCTAAAGCTCCACTAAAGGCAATGGCAACATGTCTAGTTGTTCTGGAAGCCTAGAAGCAGAAGAAAAGACCAACAATATAGGATTCTTTAGTCTTGCAAATCATTTGTGGGGGTGGACATTGCACAGCCCTCTAGATGATGCTACTGGATTGCAGCTTCCATAATATCTTGGCAGTGCTGACTTAGGTTAAATGGGAACTTCAGTCCAACAACTTCTGAAGAACCACTTATTTCTCTGTCTCTGATCAACATTTAGCCATGTAGTGGCTTACCTTTTGGGTGGTTTTAGCATTTATTTCAGTTACTTTTACCCCGCCCTTCTCACCCCCCCCCCCCCCCCCCCCCAGGGAGGACTCAAGGCTAGACAACTCTTGTGGCCTCTTCCAGCTATAAGATTCTATGTCTTTAAGAGGTCAGATGGAGAGTTCATCCCACAAGAGAAGAGACAGTTTCCAGGACCTGGGTGGGTTATGGGTCCATGCATTAAAATAAGCAAGTAGGAAATAGCATTTTTATTTTTGCTGAATGTGGTACCTGCAGCAGATGGGATCCCAGCTCTCGCCCAACATTGTCCAAAGGGCTGGTTCGACTTGGGTGGCCCCAGGCTTCTCCCAGTCCTGTGAAGACATAGACATTCAGTGAAAAAAAAAACACACCCAGGTTGTGAGACCCAGGCTGCTTATTTGCAGTTTGTTGTTGTGTGCCTTGAAGCCATTTCCAGCTTATGGTAACCTATCAGTGTTGTTGCTTTTTGGCGCAATTTGTTCAGAGTGTCTTGACCTTTGCATTCTTCTGGGGCTCAAAGTGAGACCAACTTGCTCAAGGTCACCCAGTGGGTTTCTATAGCTGAGTGAGGATTCAAACCCTGGTTTCCAGGACCATAGTCTGTGCTCAAACCACTACACAACAAACAATTCTGACATTACAAGGAAAACAGTAGGTGCAGACAGAGAAAACAATGACTTGTGTATCTTCCATTTATAACTCCATCAATGACTTTGATGTCAGTTCCATGACTCTGTTCCAGCTCTTCAGCCAAACTTTAAAGGAACTCTTCCTATCCTCAAAAGAGGCCACAGACCTTGGATAGTTCCTTTAAAGTTTGGACTAAGATTTCTGAGGGTTTTCTTTGCAAAGGCATACTCAGTTATGGTTTGGCCAGCATCTTCTTTTGAAAAATAACCCACACCACTTGTGTTCATTTGAGGTGTCTCATCCAAGTACTCAGGACCTCATCACACTAGGCAGTGGTTCTCAACCCGGGGTCCCCAGATGTTTTTGGCCTACAACTCCCAGAAATCTCAGCCAGTTTATCAGCTGTTAGGATTTCTGGGAGTTGTAGACCAAAAACAACTGGGGACCCCAAATTGAGAACCACTGCACTAGAGCATGGCTCCACTTTAAATCCAGTTTCTGTCTCCTGCAGAATTCTGAGGCTTGTAGTTTAGGAAGGGACCTTTAAACTGCTCAGCTAGGTAGGCCCTGATCCTCACTAAACTACAAACCCAGAATTCTGCAGGAGGCAGAAACCAGATTTAAAGTGGATCAATGCTGCGATGTGATGAGGCTGTAAGGCAGACCTTACTTAGCTTCCAAAATATGTAGCACTTATTTCCACCATCTCTTCTGTGCATGTGCCTTCAGGTAGTCCCTCAACCTATGGAGAGCCCATTAATTTCATAGCTTTTTCTTGGGCAAAGGACACCTCAAAGACCCAACAGGGGCTCTCTCCAAATCCAAGAGAAACTTCCTTTCCCTTTCCTCTAACCTGAGTTGCCCTGTGAGGTGAAGACTCTGGAAATCCCCATCGAAGAATTCTCCTTCCCTTGCTTTCCTCAGTCACCGAGGGCCTTTTGGCAGCACACAATTATAGCGCTACAAATCCATTCCAACTCCTACAGCCCCACGTTACAGAATCCTAGACTTTTGCTCTTGAGAAGAGCATTGAGAATGTTCAGCTAAGATTTCAATTCCATGTTTCAAAAGACAAAACACACACTAAAGAGCAGTTGGAGGCACTATAAAAATAGGGACGCGGAGACAGTTCAGCTCGAGTAGAAAGGAGGTTGGGCCACTTTGTGGATCGCCTTGGATCTCACACACAACCTTCTCCCCTGGCTTGGCTGGGTTTTCTTCCGTCTAAAATCAGACTTCCCAAACACCTATTTTCAAAGAGAGAAAGTCAGATCGATGCCCCTGTAAGTGGCTTTACAGGTGACAAGGCGAGAAGCAGGGAGACCTAAATCCAGCGTTATACAAACATCAGGCTTTTCTTTTTTCAAGACCTCTTCCTAGTCTGCTCCCTCCATCGCCACTAACTCCGGCTTTTCCTGGGCCTCGCTCATTTTCGAAGGCACGTGGGAACCGTGGAACTGCCACTCAGCAAGAGCGCTGGCTCAGTGACGTCACAGCGGGGAAGGCAAAAAGGTGCAAGGGAATCTTTGGGCAAAAAGGTCGGGATTTTATATGTTTTATACATATGCATACAGACAGTGAAGACGTTCTTTTTTCAGTCTTTCTTTCTTTCACTTATTAACTTTGGTCACTCGGTCATACGAATAGAATACAAAGACATATCTGTGTCACTCTGCAATATCAGTTTTCAAAGGTGCGACAGAATTTCTTTGCATAAGTATTATCATTATGATTACATTTATTAATACCCAGCTCTCCCCCCCTCCCCGGACACACACACACACACAATGCCACGATCCCTTAACACAGTTCCTCATGTTGTGGTGACCCCCAACCATAACATTATTTTCGTTGCTACTTCATAACGGTAGTTTTGCTTCTGATATGAATCGTAATGGAAATATCTGATATGCAGGATTCACTGGACCAAATTTGGCACAAATACCTGATATGCCTAAATTTGAATACTGGTGGGGTTGGGGGGGGGTTGATTTTGTCATTTGGAAGTTATGGTTGCTGGGATTTATAGTTCACCTGCAATCAAAGAGCATTCTGAACTCCACCAATAGAATTGAACCAAACTTGGCACACAGAACTCCCACGACCAACGGAAAATACTGGAAGGGTTTGGTGGGCACTGAACTTGAATTTGAGAGTTGTAGTTCATCTATATCCAGAGAGCACTATTGACTCAAACAATGATTTGGGCATATTGGCACGAATACTCAATATGCCCAAAGACTGGTGAAGTTTGGGGAAAATGTAATTTGACATTTGGAAGTTGTAGTTGATGAGATTTATTGTTCACCTACAATCAAAGAGCATTCTGAACCCCACCAACGAGAGAATTGGGCCAAACTTCCCACACAGAACCCCCATGACCAACAGAAAATACTGTGTTTCCTGATGGTCTTTGTTATAGTGTGCCTTCAAATCATTTCTAAGTTATGTCTATCCTATTCCTGAGTTTTCTTGGCAAGATATGTCAGGAATTTTGGGAACTGAAGACCAAGTTTTGGAAAATGGAAATCTCCAGAACCTTTTGGAGATTATATGGTCTTTGGAAAGGCATGACCTTGTTAGAAGTCACAACCTTTTGAAAAATGATGCCATAACCTCTTGGTAAAAGCATGACCTATCAAGAGTCAGAACCTTTTTGGAAAATGGCATTCACCAGCATTCATGCAAGACAGCTAGGTTTCTCAGCTGTTAAACTGATGTACCTAGGTATGTCTTTCAACTGTCAGGGGTAAAGATATGCCAGTGCACCAAAAACACGCTCTCGCGTGCACACATATATTCAGCAGAGTTTCAGAAGTGTTCTTTGTAGTTGCCCAAAAACATCTACTCTCCCTTAAAATATATTTGCCTTTAAATCATGCTCTCAAGAGACAAAAATAGGCAGACTTTTAAAAAAGTAACATAATTGGTTTACTCACAAACCTCATGTATTTCAGCATACAGGTACTTTGCTTAACAATCCAGTCACAAATAGGATTTGAAGTAGTTTCTCTGAGTAGATAACACAGGGCATCTTTCTTAGAATCAATACTCCATAGTCCAAAGCATCTCTCTGTTCTGACAGTCTAATAGAGTCTCTAAGCATACAGTTCCTGCATTGAAGTTTAAACTATACTGTTTCCACAGTCTTCTAAAGGCACACTGAGATCTAAAATGGAATCTGAGTCCGGAACAAGCCCAGTTCTGATCACATGGTGTGAAGCCCCTCTCACAACAAAGAGGTTGAAGAAAACCGCAAACCAATACACACATATACAATTCAGGAAACAATTATACATAAACAAATAACTAGTATAGGAGGCTTGAGAAGGCTGCTATTCCCAACACCAGGTTTGGAAACTATTGATTAGGGGTGCAACTTCTTCCAAGGTTTGCGTCTTGGAAGTGGGTCCATAAGTGACTGTGGAGACCTATTCTGGATCTGTGTGGTCTGTTACAATGAGAACATAGATTTACAGATGGAAGGCAGTCCTGACAAGGGTTTGTTTGATAGGCTTTCCATTCACCCTCAACCAATGAAAAAATAACAAAGCCAGCAGACCAGATGGGATCCCTGCTAGGTGCGTCTATACTGTAGAATTAGTGCAATTTAACATCACTTTAACTGTCATGGCTCAAAGGTTTTCAGCAGAGAAGGCTAAACACCTTACAAAACTACAACTCCCCTGATTCCATAGTATTGAGCCATGGCAGTTAAAGTAGCATTGATCTACATTAATTCTACAGATACAGATAGAATCATAGAATCATAGAATTGGAAGAGACCTCATGGGCCAAGAAGCAAGAAAATTGCATTCAAAGCACCCCGACAGATGGCCATCCAGCCTCTGTTTGAAAGCTTCCAAAGAAGGATCCTCCACCACACTCTGGGGCAGAGAGTTCCACTGCTGAACGGCTCTCACAATCAGGAAGTTCTTCCTAATGTTCAGGTGGAATCTGAACTCTAGAGACCAGGGTCCACATTCTTGCTTGGCCATGGAAATTTACTGCTAGAGCTTGTGGGCAGGTCACATTCTCTCAACCAGGGGAAGGAATGGGAAAACCCTCCTGAACAAATCCTGCCAAGAAAACCTTCTGATGACCTCTCAGGAAAACGGCATGAAGGCACACAGCAACAACAAAGGAGAGAAAGCATTTGAAGGTTTCATAAGAAAAGATTTAGAAGTCAGGCATCTTTCAGGCTCCTTAAGGCTGGGCAACTACGGGAAGCCAAAGAGGAAAAAATAAAGATCTAGGCGATCTGTTTGTTTTCTCTGTGATTGGTTCCCGAAGCCCTCCCTGCTATGGCTCCCTATCTTGGCCAATCTAAGAGCTCCCATTCCAACTGTGTGTGTGTTCACCAGTTGTTAATTAATCTAAATGTGAATGTGGGAGCGAGGAGGGGTGCTTCCACTTCTTCAACCGCTAGAAGACGGGAAGCAGAATCCGCTCCTGCGGTTTAATGAACAACCAGTGGCTACATTATAGCCTAACCTGCTGCGAGAAATTAACTCTCTCTTCAGCCAAAGAAGGAAGGGGGAGGTCTTGAGGAAGCCAGGAATGCCAGTCCTTCCAACCCTCTGAATGCCTCTCAATTCTTTGAGAAGTTGCTTCTGGTGTGAGAGAATTGGCCGTCTGCAAAGACTTTGTCCAGGCGACGCCCGGATGTTTTACCACCCTGTGGGAGGCTTCTCTCATGTCC